TAAACATCAAAATTTCTTTTTTCTCTTGCAGTTGTCTTGGAGGAAGTGATAACTTTAAACATTTAAACGAAATTGATCTTTTTAATAATATCGATCCAAATGTGAGTATTTTCCTAACCCTTCCTGTTTTCTCAGTGCTGGAGTCCAGAAAAATTATGGAAATTTGGGATATTCCATCCCAAAAAGTGTTCAAGGCCAGCTTGGGATAATGGAATTGGATGGAATTGGATGGATTTTAATTCCATTCCAACCTAAACCATTCTATGATCCTAAAAATGGTTGAAAAAGAGATTTTGGTGGGATATTGGGGTGAAATAAAAAAAAAATTAAATTAAAATAATATAAAAAAAAAAATACCATCTGCTCTTTAGGCTGCTCCCTAAAGATTTGGGGAAAATGATTTTTTAAAACAAAAAAATCTTAAATTCAGATCTGGGTGTTTTTTTTTCTGGGATAAGGAATAAGGAGAGAGGATGAGACAAAGGAGGGATGTCAGCAGTTCCTGCTGAAGGTCATTCTGATGGCATTAACAGCTATTTTGTCTTTTTTTTTTCAGGAATCAAAGCATAAAAGAACAGACAGATCCATCTTGTGTTGTTTACGAAAAGGAGAGTCTGGTCAGGCATGGCCAAGGTTAACAAAAGAGAGGGCAAAGGTGGGTTTGGGCACCTCCTGCCTCTTCTGGATTTTAATTTAGTGAAGATTTGGGTCATTTTTAAATTTTTGGGTCATTTTTCCTGCTCCTGATCAACTCATTACTTCCCTGTCCTTAAATAATTCATTATCCTTAAATAACTCCTTGTGTTGCCACAGCTCAACTGGCTCAGCGTGGATTTCAACAACTGGAAAGAYTGGGAAGATGATTCAGATGAAGATATGTCCAATTTTGACCGTTTTTCCGAGGTAGGAACAACAAAATCCTGGAATTTGAGGATTTCCAGGCAATAAATCCATTTTTTTTTTTCACCATCGCCTTATAATTCTTGCATGGGGGAAATTATTTTGTTAAAGCAAGAGGTGCTGGTGGTTTATAACAATTTCAGGCTGGTTTTGAGTTAAATTTTGAGTTGAAAATGTGGTTTTTTTGTGTCTTGAACAGATGATGAACAACATGGGAGGAGACGACGACGTAGATTTGCCAGAAGTAGATGGGGCAGATGATGTGAGTACATGGGTGGAATAAACATAGAAATGGTTCAGGAATCCTGAAAAAGRCTCAAATTGCCCCAAATTTTATTTGATGTCAGCTGGTGGGGACACTGAAGTGTCTCTGGGGGTCATTTTGGGCTCAGCAATGAGGCCAAACTCAATTCTGGAACCTCAAATTCCTCAAAATCCCTTGAGAGTGGATCCAAATTTGGGAACAGCAGAGGAAAAGTCCTTCCAGCACCGTCTGCTCCACTTAAAAATTGTTTATTTTTTTTTCCAGGACTCACCAGACAGTGATGATGAAAGTAAGTTGTTGTTTTTTAACTCTCACACCTCCTGAAGGCTCCGAGCCAGATGTTCAAACCTAATCTGGGAAAGCCTCTCCATGAAATCCCCAAATACCAATTTGAYCTTCCCAGGGAGGCTTTGGCTTTGGGATTTTTGGGGTGGCTCTGGCACAAATTTCCCTTTGGAA